TTCAATTAAACGGTCTGCCCTATGTGTGAGAAACACGAGAAAAAAAAAAAAAAAAAAAGCGCCGACCCTCTTTGTTCAAAATTGCGCCATACCAATACGAGTGGTTGTTTATTACCATGCTTTTGCTGCATGCAATAGCAAGATGTGTGGGGTGGGGGTGGGGGGGGGGGGCAATAAGAATGAATGGTATCATCTCTCATCTGGAAAAGGGCAATTTTTGCGTGCATTCCTGCAACGCACAGGGGTGAGCGAAACCTGAAATGAACGCACGTTTCCTCTTTAAAGGCTCAGTTACAACAGATGCAGTCAGATGCATTTTAAAATGCAGCATAAATGCCTACGCAGGAAAAATGAATGTATTCCTATCAGTCTAGTTTACACCATTGCAGCGCTTTCATTTGCCTTTTAAAAAGTCCAGCATGCTGCATTTTTCCCTCACCAGAACGCACTGCAGACACTAGTGTTGGGCTACACGTTCGAGTCGAATCTAAGTTCGAATTGAACATGGGCTATTCGTGTGATTTTTGAACACAGGAACGGTACAGGCTTTCGGCGGGCTGCGCCCTGACAGTGCATTGTGATTGGCCAAAGCAATGCACTTGACCACAGCACAGGATGACGTCACAAGGGGGCGGGGTGAACTCCACCCCCTTGTGACGTCATGACAGTATTTAAGAGCTGTCAGACGACAGGAGTCAGCGTCACGAGCGGAACGGGTTTTTTTCTTCTTTTTCGGGCGGCGGCGGGCATCGTGATTGACGTTGAATCTACTTCGGGGGACATTTTTAAAAAATGTTTGTTTTTAACCACTTTCTTCTTTTTTCGAGTAGCGGCGGCGGCGGGCATCGTGATTGGCGTTGGATCTACTTGGCGGACATTTTTTTAAAATTTTTGTTTTTAACCACTTGCTGACCGCAGATAGCCGAATGACGGCTTCACCGCGGCCGGCCAGTTCTGGGAGGGTGTCATATGACGTCATTCCAGAATGCACGCTCCCGCGTTCCCCCTGGGGGCACGCACCCGGTGATCTCCATGATCGCTGTGTTCTACAGACACAGCCGATCACATAATGTGGTAAAGGCCAATCACAGCGGCCTTTTACCACGTGATCAGTCATGTCCAATGACACAGCAGATCACCAGTAAATGCAGTTGCTGGTTATTGGCTGCACTTTCCTCACACTGTCAGAGATTGTCAATTGTCAGAGGACGGATCGGCACCGATCATCAGGGCACTGATGATCCGTGCTCAGCAGTGCCACCCACCTGTGCCCATCAGTGCCTAGTAGTGCCACCCACCACTGCCCATCAGTGCTGCCCAGTAGTGCCACACATCATTGCCCAGCAGTACCACCAGTCAGTGCCCATCAGTGCCGCAGGTCAGTGCTGTCAGTCAGTGCCACCCATCAGTGCCCATCATTGTTGCATATCAGTGCCAGCTCATCAGTGCCACCTATCAGTGTCCATCAGTGCTGCATATCTGTGCCAACTCATCAGTGCCCATAAGTGCTGCCTATAAGTGCCCATCACTGTTGCATATCAGTGCCAACTCATCAGTGCCAGCTCATCAGTGCCGCCTATCAGTGGCCATCAGTACTGCTTATTCGTGCCAAACTCATCAGTGCCCATCAGTGCCACCTATCAGTGCCTATCAGTGCCCATAAGTGCTGCCTATCAGTGCCCATCACTGTTGCATATCAGTGCCAGCTCATCAGTGCCACCTATCAGTGCTGCCTATCAGTGTCCATCAGTGCTGCCTATCCATGCCAACTCATCAGTGCCCATCAGTGCCACCTATCAGTGCCCATAAGTGCTGCCTATCAGTGCTGCCTATCAATGCCCATCAGTGCTGCCTATCAATGCCAATCAGTGCTGCCTATCAGTGACGCCTTTCAGTGCCTATCAGTGCCCATAAGTGCTGCCTATCAGTGCCTATCAGTGCAGCCTCATCAATGCAGGCAACGCAGTGGAGGAGAAAAATTTACCTGTCTGCAAAATTTTATAGTAGAAACAAAGAAAAACTTTTTTTTCCCAAAATGTTTGCAATTTTTTTTGTTTATATTACAAAAAATAAAACACCCAGCGGTGAGTACATATCACCAAACGAAAGATCTATTTGTGTGAAAAAAATTATAAAAAATGTCATATGGGTACAGTGTTGCATGACCTGACCGCGCAATTGTCATTCAAAGTGTGACAGCGCTGAAAGCTGAAAATTGGCTTGACAGGAAGGGGGTAGAAGTGCCCGGCAGGCGAGGGGTTAATAAAGGACTGTTTCCTGTCTTTTTTACATTACACTTGTTTTTTTTGTGAATGGATAGCGGTACCATGTACCCAGGGGTGGACTGACAACTCATGGGGCCCCCGGGCAATAGGGGATCATGGGTCCCCCCATGTCCTTGCCCAAACTCAAAAAAGCCTATGAAAAAGGTACCAGGGGCATCTCATGGGGCCCCCTACTGACTCCGGGCCCTCGGGCAGTGCCCTAGTTTCCAAATGGTCAGTCCGCCCCTGCATGTACCCCATACTCATTCACATGGGAAGGGGGGTATGGAGTCCCCCTAGTGAATGGGGGCTTCCAGATTTCGATAAGCCTCCCACAGACCCCCACAACCACAGACAAGGTTTGCGGGCAAGAGGCCCTTGTCTCCATCAACATGAGGACAAGGTGCTTTGGGGGGGAGCCGCCCTGCTCCAAAGCACTCCCCTATGTTGAGCCTGGTAGGTTCAGGAGGGGGGGGGGCGCACACTTGTCCCCGCCTTTCCTGACCTGCTGGGTTGCATGCTCGGATAAGGAGCTGGTATGGATTTTGGGGTTCCCATGCCATTTTTTTTTAATGTTGGCGTTGGGGTTCCCCTCAAAATCCATACCAGACTTGGAGGGCTTGGTATGAATAGGAGGGGGGACCCCACATCGTTTTTTTTTTTTTTTTTATTGGGCAATGCCGGCAATTCTTTTGACATTCAGCTGTCGATGGGGAACCCCACTGACACCAGGAACCCCACTGACACCAGGAACCCCACTGACACCAGGAACCCCACTGACACCAGGAACCCCACTGACACCAGAAACCCGACTGACAGCTGAAACATGAATGAATGTCTCACTACTAAAATACCACGTGCAGGGGCAGACTGACAACTCATGGGGCCCCTGACAATAAGGGATCATGGGGCCCCCAACAATAAGGGATCATGGGGCCCCTGTGTCCTTGCCCAAATCTTCCTGCTTTTCCTGGCTTCTATCATTTTATAGCATTTGGTTGTTTATCTATCTATTGGTCTTTCTCAACCAGAATTCCTCCAACATTTTCAGGGGTTCCTTAAAAATGATTATAAAGTTTATTTTTTTAAAATCACAAACATGTCATATACATACCTATTTGAATAATCAAAAATATTGTAGATTACCTCTCCCTAACTAGGGAGCCAAAAATGGTTGCTCTTGTAATCACCGACAACACCTTATTGTGACATGGTGGGATCCTCAAAAACCAAAGCAAAGCGAAAAAGATATTGGGGGATCCAGGAGATCTGTGATGAAGCAGCAGGGGTGGGATCAAGCCGAGCTGTGTCTATGGAGCCAGGAGCACTGGCGGGGGGGGGGGGGGGGGGGGACACCAGAAGAAAAGGATTGGGCTACTCTCTGCAGTATTATTGCACAGAGTAGGTATGTATATGAAAAAGATATTGGGGGATCCAGGAGATCCCCCCCCTATCCCTCTCCATCATGACCAACAAAGCCACCATCACTCCCACCCCGCAAGCCAAAGTCCTAGGTGTCACTCTAGACCCATACCTGTCCTTTTCAACCCCATGTCCAATCACTGGCAAACTCATGCAGGCTCCACCTCCGAACATCTCCAAAATACGTTCGTTCCTAACCCCAGACACTACTAAACAACTCGTTCACTCCCTTATTATCTCACGTCTGGACTACTGCAACTCCCTCCTCGCCGGCCTACCTCATCACACAGACTATCCCCCGCTTCAGTCTATCCTGAAATTCAGCGGCCAGACTCATCCACCTTACCAACCGCTCCGCTTCTGCCACCCTCTGCCAATCCCTCCACTGGCCTCCACTCAGTGTCCTCCACCCCCTCTCTGTCATTCCCTCCACTGGCTCCCGATTGCCCAACGCATTAAATCCAAACTACTAAAACACAGACATACAAAGCCATTCACAACACTGCCCCAAATCTACCTCACCGACCTGATGCCCAAATACCACCCAACCCGTACTCTTCGCTCCTCACAAGACCTCCTACTTTCTAGCTCCCTGGTCTCCTCCTCCCACGCCCGACTGCAGGACATTCTCCAGGACTTCCCCCCCCATCCTCTGGAACTCACTACCCCAATCCATCAGACTGTCACCTACCTCCTCACCTTTAGACGCACCCTGAAAACCCATCTCTTCAGGGAAGCCCTACCCCACCCTCACCTAACAGCCGATCTCCTCCATCCTCCTCCTACCACTCCACCCCCCACAGCCACTTCCTCCTGTACCACTTTCCCCTCCTTCCTAGATTGTAAGCTCCAAGGAGCAGGGCCCTCGAACCCCTCGTGTATTGTGTTTGATACTGTATTGTCTCAATGTTCTGTCCCCACACTATAATGTACAGCGCTGAGCAGCAAACTTTTTGGCGCTATATAAATACTGTATAATAATAATAATAATAACTCAAAAAAGCCTATTAAAAAAAAATGGTACCAGGGGCATACTCATGGGGCCCCCTACTGACCCCGGGCCCTCGGGCAGTGCCCAAGTTTCCAAATGGTCAGTCCACCCCTGCCCAAAACAAAGGTGATAAGTATAAAGGCCTGGAATCCTGACCTAATTAGGTGCAATATGAACTGTGACAAAGACAACGTGAGGAATAATCAGCGAGTGAACATAAATAATACATAAAAATGTAAATGCCTGAACCCCGACCAAAACTAAGTGCAACATAGATTATGATGAAATACAAATGAACAATAGTCACCAAGTGAACAGTAACCCCTTCCAGTCCGGACACTTTCTCCCCCCCTTCCAGTCCGGACACTTTCCCCCCCTTCCAGTCCGGACACTTTCCCCCCCCCTTCCAGTCCGGACACTTTCCCCCCCTTCCCCAATCCAGACACTTTCACCCCCTTCCAGTCCGAACACTTTCCCCCCCCTTCCAGTCCAGGAACCACTTTCCCCCCTTCCAGTCCGGACACACTTTCACCCCCTTCCAGTCCCCACACTTTCCCCCCCTTCCAGTCCCGGACACTTTTCCCCCCCTTCCAGTCCAGACACTTTCCCCCCTTCCAGTCCGGACACTTTCCCCCCCCTGTCCAGACACTTTCCCCACCTTCCAGTCCGGACACTTTCCCCCCCTTCCAGTCCTCGGACACTTTCCCCCCCTTCCAGTCCGGACACTTTCACACCCCCCTTCCAGTCCGGACACTTTCCCCCCTTCCAGTCCGGACACTTTCCTCCCCTTCCAGTCTAGGACAACCTTTCCCCCCTTCCAGTCCGGACACTTTCACCCCCTTCCAGTCCAGGACAACTTTCACCCCCTTCCGGGACACTTTCCCCCCTTCCAGTCCGGACACTTCAATACCCCCTCTTCCAGTCCGGACACTTTCACCCCCCTTCCAGTCCGGACACTTTCACTCACCCCTTCCAGTCCGGACACTTTCCCCCTCTTCCTGTCCGGACACTTTCCCCATCTTCCAGTCCAGACACTTTCACTTCCTTCCAGTCCGGACACTTTCCCCCTACTTCCAGTCCTTGACACTTTCCCCCCCTTCCAGTCTTTCGGACACTTTCACTTTCACCCCTTCCAGTCCGGACACTTTCCCCCTCTTCCTGTCTGGACACTTCACCCCCTTCCAGTGTGGACACTTTCCCCCCTTCCAGTCCGGACACTTTCCACCCTCTTCCTGTCTGGACACTTTTCTTCCAGTCCGGACACTTTCCCCCCCTTCCAGTCCGGACACTTTCCCCCCCTTCCTGTCTTTTCCCCCCCTTCCCCGTTCAGTCCGGACACTTCCATTCCAGTCCGTACAGTCCCGACACTTTCACACTCCCCTTCCAGTCCCCTAGACACTTTCCCCCTCTTCCAGTCCGGACACTTTCCCCCCCTTTCCAGTCCGGACACTTTCCCCCCCCCTTCCAGTCCAGACACTTTCCCCCCCCTTCCAGTCCGGACACTTTCACTCCCCCTTCCAGTCTAGACACTTTCCCCCCCCTTCCAGTCCAGACACTTTCACCCCCCTTCCAGTCCCGAACACTTTCCCCCCCTTCCAGTCCCTGGACACTTTCCCCCCCTTTCCAGTCCCGGACACTTTTCACCCCTTCCAGTTCGGACACTTTCACCCCCCCCCCCTTCCAGTCCGGACACTTTCCCCCCCTTCCAGTCCGGACAACTTATCTTTCCCCCCCCTTCCAGCCCGGACACTTTCCCCCCCTTACCGAGTCCGGACACTTTTCACCCCCTTCCAGTCCGGACACTTTCCCCCCCTTCCAGTCCGGACACTTTCCCCCCCTTCCAGTCCGGACACTTTCCCCCCCTTCCAGTCCGGACACTTTCACCCCTTCCAGTCCCGGACCCCTTCCACTATACTTTCCCCCCCTTCCAGTCCGGACACTTTCCCCCCCTTCCAGTCCGGACACTTTCCCCCACCTTCGACCGGACACTTTCACCCCCTTCAGTCCCACTTTCCCCCCCTTCCAGTCGGACACTTTCACCCCCTTCCAGTCCGGACACTTTCACCCCCTTCCAGTCCAGGACACTTTCTACCCCCTTCCTCTCCAGGCCAATTTTCAGCTTTCAGCGCTACCACACTTTGAATGACAATTGCGTGGTCATGCAACACTGTACCCATATGATTTTTTTTGCATTTTTTTTGAGACAGATAAAGCTTTATTTTGGTGGTATTTATTCACCGCTGGGATTTTTATTTTTTTTGCTATGTAAATGAAAACGTCCAAACATTTTGAAAAAAAAAGTGTTTTTCTTTTTTCATAAATCTTGGCCAAAATGTATTCAGTTATCTTTTTAGTAAAAAAAAAAAAAAAAAACCCAAATTAGATTATAACAAAAAAATTATAATTTTTTAAAAAATTTTTTTTACATTTTTATTTAATTTTTTTATTATATTATTATTTATGTTTTTTTTTTTACATACTGTCACCCTAGCAGTACAGTGTCACCATGGTGACACTGTACTACTTGTGGGGGGTGATGAAGATTTTTTTTTTTTTTTTTACACTGATTGCTTTTACTGTACACCCATAAAAGTTGTAAAAGCAATCATTTCTCTTTCTCTTGGCTGCATTCTTGCAGCCATTGAGAACTACTGTGTGAGCTGTGATTGCCCACAGTTTGTCACACGGTTCAAGGCTGTTGTGAATAGCCCTGTACAATGTGATCTCTGTGATCATTCACAGATTTCACACGTAGTAAGCAATTATGTCAGAAGTGACATCTTGCTTACTAATCTGCATGTGATCACTGATTGGCCTCACACAGAGGTCCCGTACAATGACGGTGTTCCACTGTTTCGAAAGACACAGCGGGGCACCGGATCGCCGTGCTGCGCGCTCCCAGGGAGCACGCACAGTCCAAAATGGAGTTTTTCAAATGGTCAGTCGCCCCTGAGCACGTGACTTCATCATGGAACCCATGCCGGATTTAGTGTAAGTAGCTGAGCCGTATCCTACCACATACTCAGATGCAGGAAGATACCGCTCAGTATATTGTTCGTGTTCGAAGTTCCGCGGTCGAACTTTCTGTAGGTTAGGATGTTTGACCGCAAACTAGCAGACACATGTAAATGCACCCAAATGCACATGAATGCATGCAAAACCCACCCCAAATGTGCCACAAACACACTGAATGTGCACAAATGCCTATAAACACAATTTCAAAAAAATAATGAAATTGAAAAAAAAAAAAAAATGAATCCAAAAATAGCATCACAAATGCACTGCAAAAGGCATGAACACACTGAAAACACATATGAACAACACACATATGAACACACTGACAACACATACACATATGAAAAACACTGACACAGTGACAACACATATGAACACAGTGACAACAACATATGACAAACACTGACAACACATTATGAACACAGTGACAAAACATGAACACCATGACAACACATATGAACACAGTGACAACACACATGAACACAGGAGCCTAGAAAGCATTGCACCAGCGATCAGTAGATCACTGATGCCATGCAGATCATACGAAATGTACGGGATGTATGGGGTGTATGTGATGTACGATTATTTACGGGGTGTATGGGATGTACGAGATGTACGGGGTGTATGGAATGTACGATATGTACGGGGTGTATGGGTACCGTGTACGGGGTGTATATGATGTACGAGATTTACGGGGTGTATGGGATGTACGAGATTTACGGGGTGTATGGGATGTACGAGATTTACGGGGTGTATATGATGTACAAGATTTACGGAGTGTATGGGGTGTACGAGAGTTATGGGGTGTATGGGATGTACGAGATGTACGGGGTGTATGGGATGTATGAGATGTACGGGGTGTTTAGGCTGTACAGGGTGTATAGGATGTATGGGGTAAGCTGGATGTATGGGATGTACAGGGTGTATGGGATGTACGGGCTGTACAGGATGTATGGGGTGTACGAGATGTACGGGATGTACAGGCATGTACAGGTGTATGGGATGTACAGGGTAAACACATAAAAAAAAATAAAAAAAAAAAAAAAAAAAAAATAAAAAAACGGGATGTACGGGGTGTATGGGATGTATGAAATGTACAGGGTGTAGTATGGGATGTACAAGATGAATGGGGTGTATGGGTATGTATGGGGTGTATGAGATGTACGAGATGTAAGGGCTGTATGGGGTGTATGAGATGTACGGGATGTATGAGATGTACGAGATGTATGAGATGTACGAGGTGTATGGGCTGTACAGGGTGTATGGGATGTACGGGCTGTACAGGATGTATGGGGTGTACGAGATGTATGGGATGTACAGGCTGTACAGGGTGTATGGGATGTACAGGGTAAACGGGATATACGGGGTGTATGGGATGTATGAAATGTACAGGGTGTATGGGATGTACAAGATGAATGGGGTGTATGGGATGTATGGGGTGTATGAGATGTACGAGATGTAAGGGCTGTATGGGATGTATGAGATGTACGGGATGTATGATAGATGTACGAGATGTATGAGATGTACGAGGTGTATGGGCTGTACAGGGTGTATGGGATGTACAGGGGAAACATGCATGGGATGTACAGATGTAAACAGGGTGTATGGGATGTACGAGATGTATGGGGTGTATGGGGATGTATGAGATGTACGGGATGTATGAGATGTACGGGGTGTATGGGATGTATGAGATGTACGGGGTGCATGGGCTGTACAGGGTGTACAAGCTGTACAGGGGGAAAACGGGATGTACGGGATAAACGGGGTGTATGGGATGTACGGGCTGTACAGGGGTGTACAGGATGTATGGTGTACTAGATGTACAGGGTGTATGGGGTGTATGGGCTGTAACAGGGTGTATGGGATGTACGGAATGTATGGGATGCAACGGGGTTTGTACAGGATGTATGGGGTGTATGGGATGTATGAGACTGTATGGGATGTATGAGATGTATGGGGTGTATGGGCTGTACAGGGTGTATGTGATGTACGGGGTGTATGGGATGTATGATATGTATGAGGTGTATGGGATGTACGAGATGTACGGGGTGTATGGGCTGTACAGGGTGTATGGGATGTACAGGGTAAACGGGATGTACGGGGTGTATGGGATGTACGAGATGTACAGGGTGTACGGGATGTACGGGGTGTGTGGACTGTATGGGGTGTACATGATATTCCAGGTGTACGGGGTGTATGGGATGTATGGGGTGTACAGGATCTACAGGATGTATGGGGTATATGGACTGTACGGGATATATCAGGGTGTAATTGATGTACGGGGTGTACGAGATGTACCGGATGTATGGGGTGTACGGGATGTACGGGGTGTACAGGATGTACGGGATGTACGGGGTGTACGGGATGTATGGGATGTACGGGGTGTACAGGATGTATGGGGTGTACGGGATGTATGGGGTGTACGGTATGGGGTGTACGGGATCTACGGGGTGTACGGGATGAATGGGATGTATGGGATGTACGGGGTGTACGGCATGTATGGGATGTACGGACTGTATGGGGTGTACGGGATGTACGGGGTGTACGGGATGAATGGGATGTACGGGGTGTACGGGATGTACGGGGTGTACGGGATGTACAGGATGAATGGGATGTGGGGATGAATGGGATACGGATGTACGGCCATGTATGGGATGTACGGGGTGTACGGGATGTACAGATGTATGGGATGTATGCGGGGTGTATGGCATGTACGGGATGTACGGGGTGTATGGGATGTACGAGATGTATGGGATGTACGGGATGCACGGGGGTACGTACGGATGTATGGGATGTACGGGGTGTATGGGATGTATGGGATGTATGGGGTGTATGGGATGTATGAGATGTATGGGATGTACGGGGGGCGTATGGGATGTATGAGATGTACGGGGTGCATGGGCTGTACAGGGTGTACAAGCTGTACAGGGAAAACGGGATGTACGGGATAAACGGGGTGTATGGGATGTACAGGCTGTACGGGGTTGTACTAGATGTATGGGGTGTATGGGATGTATGAGATGTATGGGGTGTACGGGATCTACGGGGTGTACGGGATGTATGGGGTGTATGGGCTGTACAGGGTGTATGGGATGTACGGAATGTATGGGATGCACGGGGTGTACAGGATGTATGGGGTGTACGGGGTGTATGGGATGTATGAGATGTATGGGTGTATGTATATGTATGGGATGTACGGTATGGGGATGTATGATATGTATGAGGTGTATGGGATGTACGAGATGTACGGGGTGTATGGGCTGTACAGGGTGTATGGGATGTACAGGGTAAACGGGATGTACGGGGTGTATGGGATGTACGAGATGTACAGGGTGTACGGGATGTACGGGGTGTATGGACTGTATGGGGTGTACATGATATTCCAGGTGTACGGGGTGTATGGGATGTATGGGGTGTACAGGATCTACAGGATGTATGGGGTATATGGAATGTACGGGATATATCAGGGTGTAATTGATGTACGGGGTGTACGAGATGTACCGGATGTATAGGGTGTACGGACTGTATGGGGTGTGGTACGGGATCTACGGGGTGTACGGGATGAATGGGATGTATGGGATGTACGGACTGTATGGGGTGTATGGGATGTACGGGGGTACGGGATGAATGGGATGTATGTACGGGACGTACGGGGTGTACGGGAATGGGATGTAAGGGGGTGTACTGTACGGGGTGTACGGGATGAATGGGATGTACGGGATGAATGGGATGTACGGGGTGTACGGCATGTATGGGATGTACGGGGTGTATGGCATGTACGGGATGTACGGGGTGTATGGCATGTACGGGGTGTATGGCATGTACGAGATGTATGGGTGGGATGTACGGTGTTGTATGGGATGTACGGGATGTGTACGGGGTGTATGGGATGTACGGGATGTACGGGGTGTATGGGATGTACGGGGATTGTGTAATGTATGTACAGGGGGTGTAATGGGATGTACGGGATGTACGGGGTGCATGGGATGTGGAGCCCTGCATGGCCACACTCTTTTCAAATCTGACAGCACGGGGAGACTTCTCCCTGTACTATTTGTCAAAAGTGGGGGGGGGGGCAGCGGTTTGTAAAAGTACAAATCTACATTTTTGGAATGAATTTACAAATATATGTAAAAATATATGTTAAAATTACTTTTTTATATGTTAAAAAAAAGTCTGCAGAATATATTTAAAAAAATATTTTTAAAAATATATATTTTTTTAAAATATATTCTTCAGATTTTGTTTTAACATAAAAAAAAAAAAGTAATTTTAACATGTATTTGTAAATGCATTCCAAAAATGTAGATTTGTATTTTTTTAGAAGACATACAGTATATTTGAAATGTACTTTTAAAAATATTTTTTCATATATTTTTTAATAAAAACGCATTTCAGCGTGCAATATATATATACTGCATGCTGAAATATGTTTTTTTAAAAAAAATATATGAAAAATATATATATACACAGTTGTGTTCATTATAATAGCAGTGTGTTGAAAAAAGTGACTAAAGCTGAAAATCCTTCTAATAGCTTTTGTTTCCATCCACACAAATGCATTGGGAACACGACACATTCTATTCCAAATCACAACATGAAGAAAAATACATCAAATTTGTGTTGTTCCTCTAAAAAAAATTAAAAGTGAATATTAGACGGTTGAAAAAAAATCGCAGTGTTTGTATTCTTCTTTACAAACTCAAACATTCACTATATAAACTGAGAAATGTTTGAAGATTTTGCTTTCGTTTTGAATGACTTCATGAATATTTGGTTGTAGTCGCACTGTTTCTGAGAACTGCTGTACATCTGTGTTGCATGGAGTCACCCAACTTCTGGGCCCCTGTGATCAGGTATTCCAGCCCAGGATGATTGGACCACATTCCACAGTTCTTCTCTATTTCTT